GAAATTGGTGTGGCTAAATAAACTTTATTTTGATTTCCGACCAATACGAATTAAGGATTTTGTACGGAGTGGCCAAATAAAAAATCTATTGGCTATATTAGTACGAAGGGTGTACGATAGACTTGTCTCCAGGTGGTACAGCCTGGGCAACGTATATTCATATGGCAAAAAAGTCTATAAACCGTCTGACTTCAAACTACCATGACCCCACTCTATGTCATATTCGACCACTTTCTCAGAACTCACCTCACCTTTCCATTGCCTTTGTGTCTGTCTATCTCTTTTACTTCTGTGAATTACTCTTCTTTTCACCTCTCTCGAATTTTTTCACTTTGATGTTCCTTCCCTTCTGTGAAGCCCAAAGTCAACTAAAGGGTTAATGATAACTATCAAAACACCTGCCATTTGAAATGAATGAATGAATATTAGTATGACACAGTCGAACTCATTCCTACATTCCAGCTGTCAATCATGCATCAAGAAACGAAGAAGACGAAATTTCTCAACTGCCATATCGTGCCTCATTTCTCCTCATTTGTTCTCCCTCAGTGCCTACTCCTTTTCTGGTCATTTCAATTTTTCATCCTACTCTTTCTCTTCCACAAAATTTCGGATAATTTGACTTTTCTTCCACTTTGGAAAGGCTGTAGTTTTCCCATTGGTCTGTAGAAGACCCTCAATTCGATAATTTGGCGGAGCTCTTAAATTAATTTTATTAACTTGAGCTTCGTGGGGTGCGTGATAGACTTACCTCCACGTTGTGCATCCTGGGCAACGTATACTTATACGGCGAAAATGTCTATTAACTGGCGATTGACTTCTGGCGCAGTACTCATCCTACCTTTTCTCTGCCTTCATGTCTGTCTCTTTACATCTGTAAATCACTCTTCTGTTCCCCACCCCTCGACTTTCTGTTACTTTGATGTTCCTTCCCACTGTGAAGCCCGAAATCAGCTAAAGGGCTAATGATAACTATCAAAACGCCTGCCATTTGAAATAAATAAACTTGAGCTTCGTTGCGTTAAGTCTCAAAAAGAGCTAACTTTGATCCATTCTCGTATCTAAGAATTCCGTTTCCTAAATGAGCATAAAAGTATATTTATATGATGCAGTGACCTGGATTTAAAAGCATTCATTTGGAAAAAAAGAAATTAAATCTTAACAATTTCTCTTTATTATCTGAATGTGGTATCAGCGTGCCCTGGATCAACGCATTAAGTAACTACCGTCTCATACCAATACCCTAAATATCAATGAATAAGGAACGCAAAAGCGGTCAACTGCCCTCTCCCATTGCGCATATTCCCCGGTATCAAAACTTCTCCCTCTCTTCCATGTTCCTCCTTCCACTCATTCATTCATTCATTCATTTTCCACTCTGTCCATCATTCTCCAATGTGCAGTCCACGTTTATTCAAACAAACTCCGGAATACGTTTCCTGTCAGCCTTAAGGGATTCGTGAGTTCTATGAATTAACAATCAAGCCCACTGTGATCATGCTCCAAGGTTGGTTTTAGTTTGGATTGAAGCCTCTCTAACACCAAAATGCATCTTCATGATCCCTTAGTTAAAAAATAGCCCAACATTTCACAAAGCAAAAGCATTTATAAAGCGATCTATAATGTGTGTCGTGCTCATCACACAAGCAGAACAAAGAACTCTTTACGAATAAGCACATTTGGGAGTTAAATGAGTAGTAATTCACTTCCAGCAGATCAATGCCTGAAACTGCCAGAACTAGTGGCAGGTTTGAAACTAAATACTTTCCTTTTTAAACTCGACAGAACAAAATAAGTAAAAATATCATAAATTACCTCTCAACCACCAATACTTGGTTAAAAAACAAACAAATAATTTACAGTGAAGGTGCCTCGCGTCCGTATTGAACAGCTCGTTCATTACATCCACTCAGAGTTCCATTGTTTGAGTTCCATTGTATAAGCGAACAATCTTTAGAGTTCATGTCGTTAGGACCACCTGTCTAGAACTCTACTTCATTCTATCATTCTTCTCCTAATTACCTGTCTCCAACCCATTTTGCTGGTAAACTCGCCATCCATTAGAGACCACAGACGGGTATAATCAAGTATTTAATGGTTGTTCTGCTTCGAAATGTAAAGGACTTTTACAAAGGCCAACTTTAATTATATGTTGCCTTTATATCTAACATTATCTTGGAGGATATATTATTGCGAAAAGTACAAAGCTCCTTTTGAGATGGACACCACTAATATAGCTGAACCAAGGAACCCCGTGCACCATCTAACAGTCTGGAACGTCCAATTATGCTATTGCTTGCATTAGGGAGCAAGTATGGGTGTGAGTACAGCGACCACCCAGTCAACCGAAAATTAATAGTCGTAGGATGGCTAGTGTTGCCAAAATTTACTTTTAACAGGCAAGCTGTGCAGTGGCCCACAAAGCAGCATACATTTAGTATATCTTAATAAATATGCTAATTCCAAGCTTACTAGTCAATAAGTTGTTTATTTATTTTTTCGATAAAAGTTATTTTTCATCAAATGCTTCCGGTGCTTGGGTCACCGAGGCTTCGGGTCTCCAAGGACGGGATAGGCCATATGCGTGCTTTTTGTCTCGGTATAAGCACTTCCTTGAGGCGTCTCCAGTTATTTACGTGTAACTGAGTAAGAATGTATTCCACTGTCTTCTTTTCACATTCTCACCGAAGTACTCATCCTGATAGTGTGATTTGGCAGAATGTATGAAATTGAGATTTATAGACGTAGACAAGAGTCGTCGAATCAAGCAGATGAAAACTGAGTGACGTTTCTGGATGCATTAATTGTTACTGTACCCTGAAGAAGGCTGCTAATAACGCTAAAGGTTATCGGGGAATATACCACATACAGCCTCAGATCATTTTGATTGGCAATCGTTCAGGATTATGTGAGATCTGCGATATATCCAGCAAGGCTGAGATCAATGTGAGTCCAATGAACTTTAGTTTTCGATCAAATGAGGGGTACCTATGGAGAAAGTTGTATTGCCGTTTGTTTAGTCGCGTTCACATTCAGACCACCAATTTTCGGTACTCCTACCATGGAGTGAGAAATTGGTTCAGACAGACTGATTTATTCAGGTTAGTTGCTTTTGCTCATCATCCGGAAGCGCCGATCGCAGAGAAAGGCAAACGGTAGGGGGTATATTTCGAATGTGATTATAATGACTAAGACATGTAGGGTATTTGAATTTGGTGACCGATTTAGGAGTTCTTGTAACAAGTATCACACAGAACATTTGAATCTTTCGGAGAACGCATGTGATTTATCACTCGTCTAAGGGAGTTGTACAAGCTTCAGAATTTTTATGAATATCATGATATATTTTTTGAGGATAATCTTTCAAACATCTTGTAGGGAATCGTGAACCTCGCTTTTGGTTGACAAATATAGAAATATTTGTTTTTAATAAGGTACAATCGTCAAAGGTTGAAAATGAAGTGTGATCTCCGCGTTTTATAAGTCATATTAAACTGAAAAAATAACCCGCCATAAAAACACCTAAAGGTTTTAAATGTGGGCTTTATTTCAACAGAATTCATCTATTGAATGGAATTAATAAACGAAATCCTACCACAATTATGTCCATTCTGATACGATCTTAAAAAATTACCCACTTGACGAATTGTGTGCCGAAAATCTGGCTTCGCGTCGAACGTAAATGAATCTTAATATTTTTTCTTCTCTTTCGAAGGCCTCTAGTCGAAGCGCTTAAAATATCGATACTTTTTCGCGGTTTTGAAGCGGCAACTAACGATGAGTGAATATTTGTTAAATATTCCACTTATATGAATAAGCGGCTTATTAACAGAAGTTTTAATCTGAAATCACAATCTATTTAAATAAATTATCTTTCATCAATTGGGTTTAGACCAAGTACTAGCTCTGTGATATTCTACTTATTCTAGTTTTGCCCCAAAATAAAAACCACAATTTTTCCGACATAGGAAAGCACATTCTACTGATAATAAGGACATCCATTGTGCCACGTGAAAATTCAATAATTTTGGGTGAATGAGCATAATTTTATGATAACATAAAATTGGTCTAAATATATTTAAAATACGCTTATAATGAAATTTGTATTGAAATAAATGTTAAAAGGGACATTGGGAAATTAATATGGAAAGTAAATTAGTAATGGTAATTGGAGACTGTCCAATATACCAATTCAAAATTTTAGCAGGCTGGATCATTTAATGAAATTGAACTAATTTGCTGAAAGGTAATAACCATATATCAATAAAAATTAATTAATTTCTTTATCAAAACAGATTTAATAGTAGTTATTCACACACACACACACACACACACACACACATATATATATATATATATATATATATACTCATAGAGCACGTATTTTTAATCAATAGATTCTGATTTGCAGTGCCTTGGGTGATTATTACTTTTGTTAACAATTCAGTAACTTAAATGAGAAGGAATTTAAAGTTATTAAACACAAAACAAGGAAATATGTGATAATTTGATGCAAAATTTCCATGAATGATCTGCTAACGATAACAAGATTTAATTCGTAAAAGTTATAGCACATTTATTTCTAAGATTGCATAGTTAATGAAATAAATTAACCTCGTTCCACTTCAGAATTATAAATAAAGTTCCAAAACCATTTTTTTCTGCAACAATAATAAAATTGTCAGCATCCTTTATTTATATGAACTAACCATTTTGAGGCACTTTAAGGGAGGCGGCTTTTTTGTCGTGTTAGCATGAGGTAGGGTTGGTTTTATTTTCAGTTAAACGCCAATGAAAAATACTGGATAAACGATTAGTTGTAAATTTTTAGCAATCTAAGATGTCAAAAGCGGCTTGCCGCAGATGTTCTCGGCTGTGGTGTCAAGAAGATTTGGCTAGATCCAAATGAAAATTCGACAATTGCCTCGGCCAATTCTCGTAAACTGATTCGCAAGTTATACAGGGATAACTTGATCATTCGCAAGCCCGTGACTGTTCATTCGCGTTTCCGTGCAAGGCGTCAGCTCATTGCCCGCCGTCTTGGCCGTCATACTGGTATTGGTAAAAGGAAGGGTACCGCTGATGCTCGTATGCCCCAGAAAGTTTTGTGGATGCGCAGAATGCGTGTTCTCCGTCGTCTTCTGAAGCGATACCGTGCTTCTCATAAGATTGACAAGCATCTGTAAGTAACCATGCTTAATCGGCTTGTACCATTTCTGCTTAACTTATATGACCGTCTTCATAGGTACCATTACTTGTATCAACAATGTAAGGGTAACATCTTCAAAAACAAGCGCATTCTTATTGATCACATTCATAAGAAGAAGGCCGAACGTATTCGTGCCAAGCAGTTGAATGATCAGGCTGAAGCTATGCGCCAACGTAAACGTGAAGCCAAGATTCGACGTGAGGAGCGCTTAGTTGAGCGCAGGAAGCAGCTGCTTATGGGAGCTGTCGATTCAGCTGCTCTTCCCAAACCAGTGGAGAAGCCAGTTGAAGAAGCTCCTAAGGTTGAAGAACCTAAGCCGGTCGTACCAGTCGTACAAAACCCGAAATCTAAGAGTTCTAAAGAACCTAAGGTCACTAAGGAAGTTCGTAAGACTGAATCAAAGAAGGCTGCTGATGCCAAGCCAGAAGTCAAGGAGTCGACTCCAGCTCCTTCCAAGCCTACTGCTTCTGCCGAACCTGCTAAGAAGACTCCAGCTCCTTCCAAGCCTACTGCTTCTGCCGAACCAGCTAAGAAGGCTGCAGCTCCTAAGCCGGTGAAAACAGCTAAAACTCCGGCCCCACCACCTAAAATCCCTACCACTGCTCCTTCCACATCTGCTGCTGCCCCTAAGGCTAAGTCTGGAAAGAAGAAGTAAATTATAGGATTGTAACATACAATTACAATATATATTTCTGGATCTAATGCTCGTGTACAGTTTGATGCCTATGTTTCGTTATCGGTTTTTTCTATTATTGATGTTTACGGTAATGGAGCTTTTGATAGTGCGGTCAAATATCACTATTAGGTTGTATCCTTGTTTTAGTGTTGACATTTGCTTTGTTATTGGGTTCGTCTAATGTGCCAAAAAATTCACTTTGGAAGTTACATTTGAAAACTAATTTCTTGTTTGGCAATTATTTTTTCATACGGCGTTGTCTAGATTTTTTAGTTTGATGGGGTAATAACATTGTACCTGTTTCCTTTAATTGGCTTTTGCCTGTTTAGCAAGGACCGCATTCTCTTATCTGTATTTTGACAGTGTCGTGTTTATTGGAGATGACAATGGTTGTCCAAACTAGAAAGCGAGTGTTCTGGAGTTTCCCATATTAGAATCTTGCTGATTTGTGTCAATGTTCTCGACTGTCCTTATCACAGGGTACTCATATTGATCACTCGGACTTTAACCTAACCTGAATTTCGATACAATGTTGACTTTTTAAAGTGGCCGATTGTTGATAAAACCTTCCATTTGCCAGAGGTTACCCATTATCTCATCAGGATGATTTTGATTTTTGTAGTTTATGTCGACCGTGTTCAGTGCCATATTTAGTTTCTTACCAGACTTGGTAAATATTTGCCCTGTTTTCTACGTTTCATTTAAGTTGAGAAAGATACTTTCGCTTTCTCGTTTTTTCATGCAAAATTTAATACTACTTAATTTTAATAGTAGGCTAGTATTTTACAAATTTGTCAAGAGGTCATATTTCATTTGAGATCTACTCGAGCGACTGGGTCTATCTATATTGAAATGATAAAAATAGTCAGCGCTCTTAAACAGTCTCGAATAAGGAGTAATGTCCCAATGGAAATAGAAAAATGTGCAACACAGAGGTATGCAGTGAGTTGCTGCTGTGCTTGTAGTTAGAGATATAGTCACTGAATTTTTAATTACCAAATAAGGTACTTTACGCCAAAATGGGATATCTGGATAGATTTTAATGTTATCAAGCCTAGTAATAAGTCGAAGAGACACGAGGCCATTAAACGAGGGAAGTAAGTGAGGGAAACGCAGCGAAGTTTTAAGCGAGAAACACTACTACTTACGGCCACTTCCACACGAACCAAGTTTATGTAAACTCATGACATGTCAATCACATTCATTCGTATTTCCAACTACGAAGGTCGTAAAGTGTGCTTATTGAGGAAGCAAGTTTGACCACTTGATATTGATGTAGATAAGAAATCGCTACAGATTTAAAGCATGCACAATATAGACGTCAGCCTCGTTTGTACGTTCTATATTTTCCACGGGAAGCTTAGTTGCTTTGGATTTTTTAGGGCTGCTTCTATTTCCGAGTATATCCTCAACCCATATTAGCAAAAGTGGATTACTTATTTTACAAATGTAATCCATTCAACTCGGATGCTAACTTCACATTGGGGTTATTTGTAGATTTACACTAATACAGTTCTCTAAGAACGGTTGGAAGTGGATATTTAGGTAGTAGTTTAACAATTAATCCATTTTCCATGAATCCAGACAAGTGGTGTCTGGTCAGAATGATAAAAAATGGCGTATGAGACAACACATTTAGCATGATTGATTAGCACTCAATAGGTGTTCCTTTTGGGTTCTTCAGTCCATTATGGGAGACCTATTTTGGTCAAAGCACTAAAACAAATTAGAAGCTACATTTTCGCTGAATCAAACTCACTTGGAAACAGCATGGCAATATTGATATTACTTAAAGTTTATAGCACAATGAAAGAACGCGAACGCACAAAATTAACGCTATATATCTTTATATCAAATGGCAGGCGTCTTGATGGTTATCATTAGGATATCAAATGGCAGGCGTTTTGATAGTTATCATTAGCCCCATATCAAATGGCAGGCTGTTCCCAATTATTTATTTATTTATATCAAATGGCAGGAGTTTTGAAGATAGTTATCATTAGCCCTGTATCAAATGGCAGGCGTCTTGATGGTTATCATTAGCCCTTCTTCAGGCTTCACAGAGAGGAAGGTACATCAAATTGAAAAAAATCGAGAGTTGTGGGGGGGGGGTGGAACAGAAGAGTGCTTCAAAGGTGTAAAAGAGACAGACA